GAGGGCTCCATTGCAGCCAAGAAGTTTAAGTGCACGGCGAGCGAAGCCTTGGCACTCTATCCAATCGTGCGCAGATGGCTGCGGACCGGTCCCATGCAGCGAGGGCAGTGCGTGCCGGCTTGTGAAGCTTTTGTTCTCATGGCCGACGTGGTGGACATGCTGCATGGTGCGCAGAGGACGCAACCCATCCCGCGGGTGCAGTTGCTGCACACGGTGGAGAAGGCGCTTGCGGGCTGCGTGCGAGCCGGGTGGGAGCACAACATGATCAAGAAGTTTCATTGGTTGCTGCACATGCCGGACAGCATGGAGCGCTTCGGGCACTTGCCGGCCTGTTGGACGCTGGAGCGCAAGCACCGCATGGTCAGCCGCTATGCTGCGACAGTGCGGAACACGCAGAAATACGAGCAGTCCCTGCTGGAAGAGACATTGGCGCACGACCTTGCCGTGTTGCGGGAGGAAGGCTTGTTTGCGCAGCACTGTGATCTCTTGCAAGAGCACGACTGCTCCAGGAAGCTTCTGGAGCACTTGGCTGCTGAAGGCATTCAGCGCGAGGGTGCTACCTGCAGCAGTCGCGCACGATTGGCGAGTGGGCAGGTGGCTTGCCTGAGGGATGTCGTTTTGAGCACAAGTGGTGCTGCTGGCCAGGTGCATGCTTTTTGCAGACTTGGGGGGCAGCCTTTCTGCCTGTTGGAGCTGTACGAGCTGAAGGAGCACCATGCTCAGCTTGAGAGTGCACATTGGACCCCCACGGGCCAAGGTTTGCTGCAGCCATTGAGCGAAATCCGCTGTTGTGTCACCTACACTCGCAGAAATGCGATTGTGACTGCACTGATTCCGCGAAGCTGAAAAACGTCCGATTGTGCACACAACTCACTTGGGTCCGACAAGAATCTCAAAAATATATCATGTGCACATCGGAAATTCCATGGTGCACATACCATATATTGCTGGCATTAAAGCTTATTCATAGCCACTATAACCGTTACATAACCCTTTATGTAATCCGTTCCAGAACCACTTATGTAACCATTTATGCTATACCCATATAACCCTTTACTTAAACCCCATAACCCCCTCTAAGTCATTAGCTAAAACACGGTCCATTAAAGTAGGGTAAATGTCGGCGGATGCGATTGCCGACCTCCACGACGCTGCCCAAGCGGCGAGCATGATGATGGAGAGCACGGCGGCTGGAGTTA